AACAAGGGTGAATGGGATGCACTGGCCAAATGGGCGATCAGTAATGATGTATACTCGATAAATGCACGATGGCTGGTGCAGATTCCTCGATTATAGTTCGTTTTTTCTTAAATACATTAATTATCACTCATTTTAAGTTTTAATGACATCTGTATTTTGTTGCTTAGAGAAGGGAGCGGCATAATTTTTGCGATTTTGGGGCTTTTTTCGCTGCCAAGATTGCTGCGGGTCGAGAGTACTTGAAAGATTGTTGAAAACAGCTTTGATTTTGGCTTGCTATTCCTCGCAGTAACAAGTTGTCCCCAAAGTAGCTAATCCTTATGGTATGATTTTCTTAGCTAAAAGTAGAAAAACAACATCCGATTCGCTGAAAACGACATTACCAAATTTCTCCTTCGTCGTTTGGTAAGGTTATTAATCCTTTGGCTGGTGAAATGGTGCTGCTCTTGTGCTGAGGGTCGAGGATTTCAACTCCACCTTGGGACATTCAGTCCCTTTTCGACAAAAAAAAGCTGTGAATTGGTTAAATTTTTTTGTGCATTTCTGCCATGTGATGCAAAAAACATCCTTCCGGATAAACTTTACCGCAAGAAAAAATATGTTTTATTCGTAAAAATAGGTTCAACAATAAGAATCAAGAGAATTCCTTATTCCAGTGATGTTTATCGAGCAAAGAAAATGGTGAAAAATTTCGATGAAATGCTTGACAATATCTTTACACCATTATTTGAAGCAACAAACGATCCGGATTCACATCCGGATTTGTTCCGATTCTTGCAGCAAATTTCCGGCATCGATTCAGTGGATGATGAAAGCAAAGCCGAATATATACAGGTCATTACTAACAGCGTCCTAAACAGATACAAATTTGCAAGTTTGTTGCTAGTCCTGGTCAGGAAAAACGCGCAGCGGTTGATTTGAAATAGTAGTTTCGATAATAATTATTATTTGGCTGTTATTATTACCGCTGTCGATAGCTGTTATAGATGTTATCGTAAACTGAATAATAATAGAACGACAGTGACAAAAATAACAACAGCAATAATAATGATATTGATGGCGATAATATTAATATTAATAGTAATAATAACAATAACATTAGCCGCAGCGTCAACAAAAATCATTTAATAGTTACAAGACTTTATTGGCCTATGTTTTTTGTTGCCATATAACTTTTTTTTTTCGCTTTTCTTAAACCGTTTGGCTTATTTCGTTACATTTTAAAAAAAGTAATTCAAATTCCTGACAGTTTTGTCAGTCTGCTTGCTGAATTATCTTACATGATACTTCATTAATTCGATGTTTTTTGGGTCCCGAAAAACAAAATTGAAAATGGTGGAGGGTTTTTTTGGTTACTGGTGGATCAGTTTTGCTGTCAGCTTATTAAATCCAGTTTTGAAGTACATTTATGCTTGGGACAGCTGTACTGCAAACTGGTAGCAGAGAGTTTTTTTTTTTATTTCCTTTGACCAATGCTTCATCTCCTAATGACCAGTCGTCTACTGGCACTTCTGACGTTCGTATTGTTTCTTGGAGGGGATTACTAGCTCAGTTGTTCTTTTAACAGAAATATTCAACAAATCACATGAAAATTAATATGACGAAATAAATATTGCAAAATCAAACTTCATTGATTGTATTTATTGTAATTTTGGGAAGTGAGGGTCCAGGAGTTTGTAGTTCGAGACAGAGTCTTCGCAAATAATGGGAATTTTAAAAAGACAGATTCGTTTATTGTATTATTTTGCAGTTTGATCGTTCAACACCCGAGCCATGCCACTATTCGGATGCCGAAAATCCGCCCTATAATTATTACTTATTTTATATGTATGCTAATTTGGTGGCGCTCAATGCATTCAGACGGTCAGTTTGGCTTTTGATCGTAGCATAATTGTGATTAGTCGGCTTATCAAGTGCTGTAGTCTTCAGTATTTCATTGAGATACACCTAGTGCTTGGCCGTTTGTTAATGTACCGTTTGCTGTCAAAAGCCAAAACTTTCACAGTATTCATTTATTGGAAAAAGCGGAAGCACTGGGAAAATAGCCGGAATGGCAGCAAATGTCAACAGCAGTTACCTCCTGGGCAGGCTGCCGGCAGTTTCTTCTTTCGAGAGTTGCTTACAAGCATTTTGATGACGGGTTTGACTCCCAGGCATATGCCAGTTATCAGTATACCACCAAAACGGATGAAAAAATTTTGGGGGGTTGAGTCCTCGATTTTTTTGTAGTGGCAATGCTACTTCTTCTTGTGCGATGCCCACTGCCTTTGTTTGATGTATATTTTTTGATCTTGTTATTTTTGATATTTATGTTTTTGTTAATGTAGAGTTATTTCAGAGCACGTGGTCTCAACACTTTTTCATTACGCCCACATTGTGGTGAAGCGGGCCATGTCAACCATCTTGTCACGGGTTATTTAACATCCGAAAGTATTGCCCATGGTCTTTTGCTCCGAAAAGTTCGTCCTTTCTAAAGCCATTATATGTTTTCCTAGTTATTTTAAAATTTTAAAGAATAAGGGTTTTTGATTCCCATAAGTAGTATAGTTAAAATTATAATATTCCTTTTTTTTGCAGTCTGTTTGTTTTATAAAATTGTTGCGGAACTGATTGACTTAGCAAAATTTTGGGGAAAAGAATACATTTACACCCGAGCACTTTAAAAAAGGACATATACTTAGAAAAATATGCGGATATTTTTAATTTCAGTTTGATAAAAGACTATTGTAGTTTTGTGTAATATAATTTTCTTCATGATGGATAAGAGGCTGTACTGGTGATTCCCACTCCTACTCGCATCCACCGCTCTGTCTGTGTTTTTAGCTAGGGGATCACTCATAGTTCTGCTGTGGGAAGAACAAATTCGGTATGATGTTTCGTTTTTGTTTTCCAGGTGCCGGTTCTGCAGTATCTATTTTACCTGTCACAAATTGGGATTGCTATGTCACCGCTGAGTAACAATTCGTTGTTCATCAGTTACCATCGTAATCCTCTTCCGGATTTTCACATGAAAGGACTGAATGTATCGCTTTCAACAGATGACCCGTTGCAGTTTCATTTCACCAAAGTAAATTTTCATTGTTTTTAATATATTTTCGCCTTTTTGCTGAAAAACGGCCAATTCTCGGCACCATAAGTGAAACAGCCACTGCTTCGATTGATTCGTTTCTTTCGATTGTTACGCTGCCTGTCGAGGAATCAAAACCGTCAGCAGTTTGCTTCTAAGTAACTAGTAAAAGAGAAAGGCATCGACAGTCTTGCCAGCAGGTGGCTTCTTTACTTCTTAGGATTACCTCCGCCTCTCATAGAGGGTGAATACGGGCAAGGTTTTGGCTTATACTTTTATGCTTTAATCACATCATGGATCAATGTGGCAACATATTTTTGAATTATTTTTTGTCTTTTCTTGAATACAGCAAAAATATTTTTTCCATGAAACGAATAAAAATTGCATTTTGTTGATCAGCAGATCCTCCATCCATCGCATATTAGTAAAAAAACGCAATATCTAGGAAGCGCTGATGGAAGAATACAGTATTGCTGCGCAGGTGTGGAAGCTCAGTAGCTGTGATATGTGTGAGTTAGCTCGAAACAGTGTGTTACAAAGCGGCTTCGAAGATAAAGTTAGTTTTTTTTTTTTAATTTATCCCTTATATATGCAAAGATTGCTTTTCGTATAAGCATGTACACACTGTGTTCCTAGGACTTGTTTTAGTGAAATTTTCAGCAAATTGTCTTACGCCAGCTACGAGAAATGGTGGAGTTTTGAAGTTTGTCAGCACTGCTTAACTGCTGCAGTATGAAATAGTAGAGTAGAAGGATTCGACTTAAATGTCATGTACAAAAAGACATTTTACGATGCAGTCTCTGTGTTTCATCCC